CTTTCCTTCAAAATATTGATTGTTTATAGGTGTCAAGTACTTTGCATTTTCGCGTGTATTTCTGTATAGTTTATGTATCTATGTATATAGCTGTGTGTGTCTGTGTGCGTGCCCATGTGTTGGCACAGCAGGGGGCACAGGTGGTGCATCGGCCAGTCATCTCAGTCAATCAACCCATGGCACCTGCTGGGTCCGTCCCGTGTACCTCTTGCCAGCGGGCGTTCCACACTTCGCCTGGCCTTAAAGTGCACCTGGCCTGGCACAGGCACCGTGGAGACGTCACCGTCACTTTGTGGCGAATGGCGGTTGTTGTTGTCGATGTGTTCTTGGTTGTGTGTCTTTGCTTCATCCTTTTTTCTGTGTGCGTACTTTTGTTCGTGTGCGAGGAATTGGTCAACTCTCAAACCCTTATTACTTCACCAAAAACCATGGTGATAACACCAAACTAAGCTCTTGTGCCGGAGAGACTCTGTGGGGACAATGACGTCTTCTGGCCAAACACCGCTCCCCCCGTTCTCCCCCACGACAGCGAGTTCCTGGCGGTTGGCCACGCGGAATGTCCGAATGCTCACTGCATATGAAGAGGCTGCTACCCCTCTGCCGGGTAGCCCTGACTGGTTACTGCCTGGACCTGCATGGAATACATTACACCTGGTAGACTGGTGCTGACTTTAGTCATTATTGAGGGGTGGACAGTCCTCCACTCGGGGCAGGGAACTACTCAACAACAGGGAATGTATCTTCTTTATGAACGCAAGGGGGGTGTCAGAGCTTAGAGGCAAGGTGTGGGGATGCTGTGAGACCCAGTCTGTTGTTGTGAGCTCGCCTCCCCATCAATAAGAGGCGAGGGATGGTCGTGGAGGGATGCAGGCAAGGCTGATTAGCAAGATGCCTTCTATGACCTGGCACAGGTGTGAGCTAAAGTGGCCGCCTCGAGATGCAGTCATCTTGTTGGGTCACTTTAATGAAGGCACCTGGGCTGGAGTGATTGGAAGGCATGGGTTACATCAGCATAATAACAACGGTATGAGGCTGCTAAACTTATGTGCAGCCATTGGTCTTGTAATCAGCAATATGTGTACTCCGATATACGTGAATCCGATTTATGATGATTGGTTGACACATTTTACGTTATAACGGTATTTTTGTATTCTCAATTATATCTTTTTGGAAAAACTCAACAATAGTATAGTAAATGCACATTGTTGTTTATCTGTGCGTGCATTTTACACTGTTCCAGGCCGTTTGCCTGGCCGCTATATTGCATAGCCTCACTACCTGTTAGAAAGCCCAGCCGCGGAGTTCCACCACTTTGCCCCCTCCCCCACCATCCCAGTTAACCCCTCCATCCCTCAAAAATCTCGCCAGAGCATCGTCTCATACACGATGCAACAGTTTCTGTGTTGCTAAATTAGTGTACAGTATTTGTTTTTAAATACCTGTCCAGTCATTATTCTCCATATTTATGCATGAACATATCTTACTTGTGTTTAGAAAGTGTCGCCTTTGTAGGTTTTGGGTTAGAAAATATTTTCTAAGGAACACACCTTAGGTTAGTTATGTAATGGGACCTTATGGGAAATACATTTCCACATACGATTTTCCACTTTACATTCAGGTTTTCAAGAACGCAACCCAAATGTATAGCGAGTTATGCCCATACACTATTCTGGCATCAAGACATCCCCACATCATAGAGGCACGCCGGGTCCAAGAAGGAAAATCTGCTCGGTTACATAGTGACGAAAAAGCGAAAGCAGGCACATGTCCTTAACACCAGGACCTATGGTGGAGCTGATCCAGCCTGGCACAAGCCATTCATTCACCACTTAGTGGTGAATGAATGGTGGTTGTTGGAAACATTGTTGGAAACATTTTCATTGGACAGGTTTAAGCCAAAAATGTGGCCATACTATTTGATCAGTAATAGCTAAAATGTATATATATATGCCAGTTTGGATTTTTGTTACAATTTACTTGAAGAAATTAAACAGATCATTCCAACATTTTATAATGAATGTGCATGTCACAATAAGCAATGTGATGGTTAAAACAAATCAATTCCTTAATCAGAACCAGGCACCTAAGGCACACACGTTAATTTTCCCAAAAAACAGAAGACAAAGCAATGAGCATTTGAAAAGTAATTGTACTGCACAGAAGATTGGTCTCAGTGCGTGGCAGCTTTGCGCAGTGAATATTGTATAAGATGTGTCATGCTCGAGAAGCTTTAAATTTTTTCCAGGAAATGGACTATTACGTGCCATTAATTGCGTCAAGAAGCCGTTCTGTAACGTCAGTCGTTTCCTTGGTTTCGCGAACAAAAACCGCCACAGCGTTTGGGACCTTTTTGTGAACTCGTGAAAGTTGACGGTGAGGGTTATAGCATACTGCGGGATTCAGTAAAGCAGGACATTGTGTTCCTGACTCACGCTATATGATCGTAGTTTTGTTACAAGGAGAAACAGCAATGTAGGCAGACACACGCATTTGAGGATAAATGTTAAGCGATTGATTTCTTAGCTTTGACTTACAATGACATTATTTCTGTATCGCTCGTATGCATTTTTTAAACATATGATCAAGATTTTGTCACTCAATATATTTGCAATATATTCTTGGTTTTTTCGGTAAAGTCACGTAGAAGGGAAATAATAAAATTATATAAATATAAAACAATGTTTTTGTCATATATAAGCTACTTTATATCGTACCTGTTACGATTTTAATAGGGGTATAGACCAGTAATGTCCAGTATTCGTGTACCAGAGCACGATTCAAGTGCTCAGCATTTTAGTTTTACAAAGCTGAGAGTTACTCCAGATGGAAAATATATCCCCCACTGCCTGACTACTCAACAAAATGCAAAAATACTGCACGTGAGTGCTAACATGAATACATCCTCATACATCCAAAAAAAGCTCTTTACTGATAGGCATTACGCAAGTGGGAAAAACGCATTTGAATAAGTATGATACCGTAAAAGAACATTAAAGCAGACTCGTGTCTCCACAATTCATGTCCCCACAAATGTTTTATATGAAGACACAAAAGCAAATGTGCTTTCTAGATCAATATTATCCACGAGAGAATGCGTTAATAAAATAAAAACCTCTGGACCAGTTCCGACACGTTCAGAAAAAAACAAGGAACAATTTGTAAACAATTGTACTGTATTTCAATATTTTGTCATAGCTTATGATTGTTGCCATGCAAACAAGCTTATGATCGTACGATTTGACGTTACACGGTGTGTAAATGAGACTGCCTTTCAAGAAGCTGTAGAAATGAGGAGTAGGTGAGATGGATATTAATATCGTAGAATAATGGGAAATAGAATCAAACGTTACTTTTTAGGTTACTTTCACAAGGGCTGAAAGGGGAAAGAAAGCTAAAACAGAGGTGAGGAGTGAACTAACCTTGAACAAGTTCAAGTTCATTTATTAGGTATAGCCCTGTGAGCCATTCGGCTCTTGAATCGGGTGCAACCGCAACAAACAAAAAACAAAAACATGAACAAAAAACATCTTAAAGTGAATATGTGACTAAGTGCAAACAGAAAATCCAAGAAGACAGCAAAATATTGCAGAAAAAACACCGTACACCAACGCTGTGTGCAAAAATCCGAAGTGGGATGCAAGTCAAACAACAACAACCATAAGACAACTTAGATTAAGGCCATCAGTCTAACTCTGTACTACAACAAACAAACTAAACCAAAAGTTGACTGGGGCTTAGGTTGTTGGAGTGGTGGGCATTTTGTAGATGAGAAGGGAGAAAGCTATACATAATACAGTATACAGCATGTGGTGAGACTATATATAAGCATATGAATCTGCTGCTGCTGCTGCTCGTGGCGATCTCGGTGTTTGTCGCTGTTGTTGCAGGCAGCCGCCTGAAGACCGCATAGCGACCGAGCTTTTCAGAAGGCCTGAGGAGGCACCAGCCGCATGGAATTCTCGACGCGACAAACTCAAGAACAAAACAACCCCTTGATTGAGTTCAACCCACTTGGAGAGAGACCTTAAAAAGTATTTCAGCAACGCAGTGTGATCAGAGAGCAAATATCCATTGGAGGCGCTATTAGCATGATTTTGCGTTTCTTAAATCACTATTTGCGTGACTATTTACATTACACGGAAAAGTGATTGGCTGGTGAATAAAAAGCATTAATTTTAGATGGAATAAAAAAATTGAACCAGTGTATTTTAATTACTATTCATCTGTTTCATTAATATGCCAATACCTGTACTGTATGAACGTGAATATTCAATTCAGCACTTTAAAGCATGAGCAAACAATTGTCATTGCATTTGTAGCCCATGCCAGATCAATATTGCAATGGGCACAGACATCAGGGGCTGAGCATGACTAACCTCAGCATAGATTTGTTTTTTTTTAAAGCAGATAGTGCCCCCTTGTGTAAAGTAGAACATAGCAATGCCGAAACTTCTCAAGGTCTATGCACTGAAAGGTGGTGAGTTGAAAGTTCGCGCGATGTCATTCGCGGCTGCTCGTGCGACTTGGTGCAGGCGTCGTCGTTTTGGAGCCAAACAAATTAGAAACGTTACCAATTTGAATAAACTTATAAATGTAAAGGTAGCAACACGAATTTAACATAGACGACTTGAATTGCCAAGGGTGTATGAGGTATACGGCTGCCATGCTTAATGCATGCTTAATACATGCTTAATACATGAAGTTTACATAGCGTAGCTGTTTAGCTTTCATGTTGTGTATTGTCAATTTAGCGCCACGTGCTCTTCTGAGAATGAATTTCCTGAAGAAGCTCTCAGCACATGGGGTGAAACGTCGGTCATCACGTCAAGCAACGCACAGTGCAACCTGCAAACACATCGCAGGGTTTTTTATATGGTATCTAATTAAAATAAAGGAATTCTGTATTTTTTTAATAAATGGAATCCACAACGACACGCAACTGACACTCGTGTGATAATATCACTTTATTAAAATGAGAATTGACAAAAACGTAGTACATTCAGCTTAGTTAGCACTTAAACAATACATGCACTAACGTTATTTCAGATGTAAAATATGTGAATAGTAAGATGTGAACAGATAATTCGAAGAAAAAAACAATACCCAACGATTCACTTAACGCAATTGGGTGACTTGTCATGAATGACATTTAGAAACCACAGACCATATTGAAATGAATTGAGAGCTTTAGAATCAAACGTGGAAGGGGAAATCAATTACATGATCTCTTTTGAAGTACACAACACTTAAGCGTCAGTTTTGTTTGTATTGTGGCTGGAGCCTTCTGGTCTTAGTATTTCGAGTCTTCTTGATCCCTTCATCTTGCAAAATATGATGGTTGTAATGAACATAATCAACACGACCATCAATATACCTGGGTGTAGGGGTGGGTGGTTAAAACGGGAAAAAAATTAGACAACAAACAAATAACTAAATTAGTGAATGCATGCGCTAAAACAATTATCTCTATTCACCTCGATAAAAACTGAGTTCCAAGACTCTCCCAGGATGGTCCTGCATTTGGGATTCTTTGGCCAATCAGATTAATGGGGGGGTTTGTTTCATATGGGAGGAAACTGGTGTGCCCGAATAAAAGACACGCAAAAAATATGATAGATTTAAGAATCTATTGCTGTACTGTTATCTACTGGGCACCTCGATGCTTAAGTAAACAACAGGTGGTATATTAGTATAAAGCGGGAGGTTATGCTCATTGGATTCTACCACCTGCTGGTAAAAGGCTGGTCCGATCAGTGTGATGATTGATGGTCACAAAGTACGGCCTGCTAAGCAAGCCAGAAATCTCGGTGTGTCCCCCAATCCATCTCTAACCTTTGAGGCGCGTATTAATAAAATCAACATGACCAGCATTAATAAAATCGTCAAGGTCGCTTTTTTTCTTGTTTACGGAACATTGCCCGATTACGTCCCGTCCTCTGAGCCGCTGATGCGGAGAAATTGGTTCGTGATTTTATTTTTTTCACACTTTGACGAATGAAACGCCGAGCCATCTGGAACTTCTAGTACGGTACTTTTTCGACTCGAGCCAGCTCAGAAAACAGCTGCTAGTGTCCTGGCCCGAACTCCTCGTTCAGAACATAACGCCCCGCTTCTTGCATCACTTCACTGGTTGCTGATCAAATTACGCATAGAATTCACAGACATCCTCCTCCATGTATTTAGAGAGTTGCTGCACCCCTACTCTTTTTTAAACAATAACTCTTGAGGTCGGCAGCCCAAGATCCCCTCTGCATCACCACGATGGAGCTCAAGTCCGTGGGCGATTGAACCCCGTGCTTTTGTGCCACTTGGATTGTGAGACTCTCTGCTAAAAGCTGTCGGTAGTCCCGGGGTCGGTTCGGATCTTCAAGTCCCGTCTAAAAAATGTATCTTGCAGAAGGCATTTCCTATTTTAGCCCAGAGCCACTTCTAACCAACCCCATCCCCATTGTTATTGATGTAAGTGCCTTGTCATTTTGTGAAAGACGCTACATAAGATGTAATTATTATTATTACCAAGCAGTTTCCCTTCCAAATTAGTAATACCAGAGGCCTAAAGAACACAATAATATAGATATATAGCCATGAGAGTGCACATATGCATGTGTTTAACATTCCCTTATACAAATGCATAAATATATTAATACATTCATAATAAAGGTTAATGGATTACATTGTGTAAATATAAATGTGTCGTTTACCCCCATCTAACACAAAAACCTTCATTAGGAATAATATTGGTCGCGAAAGCCTACGTGTTACATGTGAATACATTTATGCGTATAGTTACAACCTGTTGTTAAAACACATGGTCGACAATGTCATGTTTAGTTTAACAGGAGGTGTGCCTTCATGTTCTGCCCAGCCACCCATCAAACTCGTCATATCCGGCACCTGAACTGAATTACTCATGGTATGGTTATGTATGTATGTTGAACTTCTTTCAAGTGCTACGTAGCCAAACCGTGCTAATCTGAGATGCTTTCGAAGTCTGAGATTCTCTTGCAGTGATTCACCTACGGCAATCGGTTCAAACACTATCTCGTCGCATTAGTGTCAAAATCATTTATTACTTTCAAAAATATGTGTACATTTAGTAAATCGGCAGGTCGCATTTGTGGTGGGTTAAAGTGTGGGTACCCCCCCCCCCCCCCCCAGCTATTACACCACGTCTGGCTACAATCGAGGGGTTTCAAGTGGAAATTAATTACAATTAATTACAGAACTGCACCTTTCCCCGTACCTCCGATTTCAGCACGGTTGATTACGTACGGTGCGAAAGAAGTTCAGCATACGGCACATTCATATACATTTATAACCCATTCCTTAAAGTACACATTTCAAATAATGCTGTGTGTGCTCGCTTACATATGATCCAGAGTGTGTAATTAATGCTACTTTCTCCACTATTCACAGCAAAGTTATTTTGTGGACATTGTTTTGGGCACCAGTCGTATCTTTCTTCATGTGCATGACAAACTATTTTCAGAGTTGGTAAGCTGTTCTGTAAAAGATAAAAGGGTTGTTGTTATTATTCAATGTCATGAAGGTATGTATCGACATTGGAAGTACTATATAGATATCATTCCAGCGTCAATCGTTATATTAGAATATTTGTATTCCAGTTCATAAGTGGCTAACACTTAAAATAATGCTTACTCAATTTGCTGATATATGACAGACATTTTATTTTCGTTACATCGTTAAAATGGGTATTTTTTTTCTTAGTAGATGCTCCGGCAAGTAAGACACACCCCAACAAGAACCACCAACCGCCACTAAGTAGCGGTAACGTCCCCACGGCGCTTGTGCCAGGCTATATGCATTTCAAGGACACGTGAAGGTTGGTGTGTGTGTGTGAGTGTGAATCATCCACTCACACACACGCACACACCTACCGGACTTTTACTTTGTAATACACGGGATATGAAATTATAGTCTGTAAAAACACGGTAAGCTGTACTGCGGGCAGACCGTCACGCAGTAAGCACTCACATTGCACAAATTCGTGCATTCTCGGCAGGTCACTTCAACCTGAACCTTCTTGTCCACAAGGCTCTGAATAACGTTGTAGTTTGTCTGGAAGTCACTCTTGAGTGGATTTTCAGTCAAGTCCAGCTTCTTGAGATTCTTTTGAGATTTGAATAAGTCGACGACGAGCTTATCGATGTTGCACGCTGGCCAACAGACGGACAGGAGACAGCTTCAGTGCGTGAAGCATCACAAGTGTATACACAACTGTACTGTTGTAGTAGGTTTTTACCCTTTAAACTGGTAAAAAACTGACACCTTTAAACAAGGCATCATGTTTGCAATAACCGCAACACAAGCAGTCAAAATGCAAACAGAAAGAAACAACTCTGATAATGGTAATGATATGCACTGTCCTTGAAGTTGATTGGTCCACACCCGAGACAGCTTTCCTTAGAGCCTAGTCTCACATGGTGTTGGACCAGATGACGCCAAAAGGCGTACAACTAAAAAAACAGTGCACTATCAGAGTATTGAGAGCTCGGGTAAGCATTTACACTATGAGACCTCTTTTACCAGTGGCAAAATATAGTAGTAGGTTTTTACCCTTTAAACTGGTACAAAACTGTTGTAAGGGACGACCAAAACAAGTGTGCTACATTCAGGATTTGGTGGGTGAATTTACCGATCACTTCCAAACAACAGCATTTACACGTAAAATGTGGTGTCAGGGATTTGCCCTCGCATTTCCCATCACTTTAGTTATAGTTTAACAATGATCTCAAAATAATGAACATTTAAATTATCTAACTATTTTAACAAGGCAAGAATACTTTCTACTCAAGAATGCAAGGCATTACAGTGTGTGTTGTATGTATAATTTACATTGTGGCCTAAGTCTGTCAAAAATAAAATAAAGATTGCAATGTAAGTGTAAATTATACAATAACTCTTCGTATCCACGGTAAAATGTGGGAACCAATATCCAGTATGCTATTCTGTAATCCTTAAAGGTTATCGACACATTTTCTCCACTTTATCAAGACATCACAGATAATTAAGCAATTCTAGGAATAGGACCTCTGAACACAGGAGTTTTTGTTACAGCTTTCCAGATAAGCTAATATGGTAGAGGAGTTCTGGAGTATAGTTTTTCTATGCTCCACTTATTGTTCACTTTAACGAGATGAATCAACAAATTCCTCACAAATACGGTGTGATTAATAGAGAGCTTATAACTCTAATGGCATGATCCCAATCCCTGTGGTGTGCCTTCACCTTTAAAGCTAATGATTTCGAGATGTTCGCAATTTTCAAAGTCATTTGCGTTGAATGTCAGGTTGTTGCTTGAAATATCAATTTGTTCAATGCGGGATGATGGAGGAAAATGTGGCACGTTCACGATCTTCATCTTCGTCAGATTAAGAACCTACAAGTACATTGAAAACAAAAATGAAATTACATTGCAGTGCTGCACAATATATTTAAATGTGTCAATAATTTGAATTAAAAAAAACATGCAAAATGCCTATTCTCAATGAATATTGAAATTAATTTTAAAAAATATCACAATCTCCGTGAAGTGCAGGTATGGACATACGAATGCAGTATGTGAGATGCTGCTAATGCATATGTACCTTGAGATTTCTAAGTCGACGGAAATCCAGTGTGTCCGGAGAACGCATTGATAGCTGAGGCCCAAGAGAGAGCATCTTCAATTTGCCATTACGACTGCTGAAATCTGATGAACCAGTAGTTACGTTAGATATATGAAACAAACAAAACTTATATCACTCAATTAGTGGGTGCATATCCAATGTTGTCCATTATGCAGCTCAGGCTATTGCAGACTTTTACTCGAGCAGGGTCATAAATATGTTTTAATATGCAGTCTATGGTGACATGTTTACAGCTTCACAATAAACTTAATTTGATTTGTCATTTAAATCCATGTCACTTCAGCCACTTAAGATCAGATTGAGATACACCCTTTGCAAGGGAGTCCTGAATGACATACACGGGTAAAACCTAATAATAAATCCGAAATAAATCACGTACACATGTTCACAAAAGGCAGCTTCCTCATAAAAATTTGATTTATAGAAATGTATTCCTAGGAATGTAATAACATATGAAAACATTAAAACTAGTCTTTCTCTATAAATATTGCTACAATTTGAATTGGATTGATTTTATACTTCAATGATTTATTTGTCATGCATAAATGTATATACACGGGGGGGGGGGGGGGTGATGTAGTTGTTAGAACACTGCAACAAGTTTGATTCCTGGCCATTGGCCCCCACTTCAAATGACCCGAATGGTGAATTGTGGCCAATCAACCCCCATGGCCAAAATAGCATGGAGATTCCTCCAGTCATCAGATGATAATTCATATTTGTATTCATATATCTATAATTAATTCCACTTTACTGACAATTGTATATTGCAATCATTAATACATATGAGACAACTTAATTTGATATATTTGATGAAATGATAATAATAAGAAGAAGTGTACTGAATGCATACCATTAATTTTCAAGAAGCGATTTGAATAGATGCTGAGAGTGTGCAGGTTGGGTAGATGTTCAATGAGTTTCGTGGGGAATTCAGAGAGTTTGTTTTCCTGTAAGTAAAGTTCTTCCAAACACTTATTCCCTCCAAAGGAATTTTCAGACAAATTCTCTAGGCCTGAAGCATTGAGATAGAGTATCTGGACAAAGCAGTTGGGTGGATAAAGCATCGATTAATGGATTGATATATATATTCTTAAGATCACGACACAGGCATCAAATCACACGTACAACAATACATTTTTAAAATGTGTTTGTTTACATATGTTCATGTCATCCGTGCAACCACTAAAGGCCATAACATCGATTCTTGAATTTTCAAGAATTCATCCACTCGCTGGGGAATTCACTTGAATGTTGCACACCCTGAACGTGTAGCATTGCTATAATGTATTGACAAAAAAAATGTAGGCACCAGTGTCTCTTGCCCAGAGGTAATGTGAACAAATATAGCAACGGAAAGCGTTTGTAATGTGAAAATGCTGTAAAAACCTTTCACTACTGCCGGGCGGTGGTGGGCCATCTGCATCGGATAAAGTGTTAAACCCTTGTACACGTGGGTTTTCTCCAGGTGCTCTGCTTTCCTCCCACATGTATGAACATTAATTGATTGTTCAATAACACCGAAATATATAGTGGACCGCAGAACATGGACGATAGGGAGGGAGGGCAGGATTAAATCTCAATGTTATTGTATAGACTCTCATGGATTTCCTGAAACCCATACAATCACACAGAGACCCAGACTCACAAAGACTCGCATGGAGACCTCTGATTCTTTCTTCATATAAGATAAATATACCCATTGTAGTCACGTGGATTTTTCTCCGATTTTCCCCTCCACGTTTAAAGTGTTTGGCTGCTATAAATTTCCACATGATAATAAGCCACTTCGTTGAGCTATCATTTGTGACAACCATGTCGCTTCTGAAATATGGCTACACAGCTAGTGAACCTTACCTGGTAAATAATAAAAAATAGTTTTTAGTTTGATGCTGGCTCACTGTCTGGCTGCCTTTCCCACTCTTCTGTGGTTCCTCGCGCCACTTGAGAGCCATTCTCTCTCTTCGAGGGCGAGCAAAGTATGTGCTCATTACAAGTTGAAAGTATGGGTTATTACTACCAAAAATAATTGATTTCACTAATTACATACAGCAAATATGAATAGCGAAATACACCCTTGCATGTGTGCCGACATTTTGGAAACAAAAAGAGACAGGCAGGTAGGTGTCCAAGCAATAAATATCAAACAGTTATTTTCTGGAATATATTTTTAACCATGTATATAAAAAAAAAACATATATAGAAATAAACAATGAAAATAAATACAACAAAGTACATTTTATCGTCTGTATTTCAAACCCACTTACTGCATTACAACGAATGCATTTTTGAAATACATTTAAAAGAAATAAAAAATATAAAAAGTATGTATTGCCATGTTCACAATCGCACTGAAATCCGTTTGGTTAGCGTGCAGTATTGCGGTTTTAAAAAATTGCCAGCCTACCAGACCTAATTGGTAGAGTTGGAAAGTATGCTAATGCAATGTGCTTACGCTGCACCGTGTTAATTCACATTTTCAGCTTTAATCGCCATGTTTTCACAAGAAAATAGCATTCACCAAAATGTGAACCAAGGCCTGTTGAGCATAGACTACAGTATATCTATCCTGTCTGCTGTTAATGAGAATGCTATTGGTCATGGCTCATCATTACTATTATTCAACAAAAATGTTCAACACTTCTGAGAATTTGCAACATTACCACAAGAAATGTGCCCCCGGGGTCTGGAGACCACCTGGAGAAGATTCCAGGCCATGTGTTGACAATGATGGCGATCAATGACTTTTTGAAGCTATGAACATACATTTGTTATCATGTTACAGTGTATTATCCGTTATTTCTGCATTAGAAACGATAGTCCCATATAAGTATTAACATTTTTTGAAGCACCCTGTATAGACACTTAATGCGTTTAATAGCTGTACACATCATTTGCAAATTATGTTAGCTGTTTAAAATGCGCCCTCACCGTTAAGTTTTGAATGGGTCGAAAGCTCTCTTTGCCAATGCTTCCAATGTTGTTGCCACTCAAATCGATGGTTGTCACGGAGTAGCACGAGTTGGTCCATGATTTAACCTCGGTGATGTTCCTCCGACTGAGGTTCAGCCGCTTGCCAGGCCCTTCACAAAAGAATGTCTCCGCCGTGAGCAGCGCAGAGGTCATAAAAACCAATGGCACCAGCATGGTTTTTCTCATCTTCTGCGGACAAGAGACAGGAACAGTGAGCGATGATAAAAAAAATATTGCGATAGAATAATTTTGTACAATTAAATGCAATACTGCGGAAAGTCAACAGTGGTTGTTCTAGCGATGAAACGAAACAAAAATTAAACTACTTTTTTTATTTTACCATGTAAGCCCCGCTGAACTATATAGCTCTTTTTCAGACGCGACCTGTCCACAGATGACAACTCAACGAAATGGCTTATCACGTGCAAATGTATCGCAGCCAAATAATCTTAACGCATGTTTAGAAATGTGGAGGGAAACCCAAGCGACCACGGGGATAGCATGTAATTTCCAAATATACAGGTGTCAGGGTCGAAATCTAACCCATGAACTCCTCTAAACCAGGCGAGGTAGTTAACAATTTGCCACAGTGGCGCCATAGGAATGTGACATTTCCAATTACTAACTGCCAGTGGAAATTAGAACACCAACCCAATGGTAATATGGGTAGGAATATTCTCTGCTTTACTTAAAATGCAAATAATGACCCGCTCACATTGACTTTTCAGAATAGGAAGAAAAGCATAATAATATACAACTCTGTTATCAATCTTCTGCTGAAATATCTTCCCTTGCTGTGTCCGTGATGGTGGTTGTTCAACCATACTTCACCACGCTGGGCAGTGCAGGTTGGTGAATGAGGGGCGAAGTGACGGTTAAGTTATCAATCACCACCAATGTTAACTACCGCCAGGAATCGAACACAAGTGACTCTTCAGAGCACAAATATCCCATTTGTGGAGCAAAAACGCCGCGTAGTGAATTTATATATTACTGCACATATGCACTTAAATAGAGTAAATATAATAAAGCTGCTGCGATAAATTATAAAAATCACGGTGCTTCACTTTTACGTATATAAAGTTGCGAATGAGATGTAAAATGTGTACAACTTACCACTTCCTTTAACAAACCCTGCCAAGCTGTTATTCAATTTCAGCGTTTACTGTTAAAATTAATTGCTGAGATTTGAAGTTCCAAATTAGATTCCTCACATACAGTTGACCCAGGGAGTCAAGAAATGGTGACGCTTGTCTCTGAGTTTCTGCTCAAACTTCAACGTGGAGAGCGAAATTCTGAGAATATAAGGAGACCATTTATGGCAAGGTGCAAAGCCGTTCCCCACAATGAAGGACATTGGTTCTGGGCATTGGCCCTCATCCCACATCGCATGCTTTGGAGAGATAAGGCCGCAGCTGTGTGTGGGTATGGAGGACAAAGCATATGTTGGAATTTGGAAGCACATAATCCTGGAGCCTAATTAAAAGCGCTTTAGATCAGACTTCGGGGTTGAGAAGTTGTCATGAAATAAAAACTCAAGGTTATAATGATGCATTATTTATTTTTCAGACTAAATTCAGTTCCAACTAATTAAAACTTCAGGAGTTTAAAAAGAAAGGTTTAACGGTAAGAATGAATCACGTGCAGATATGAAAGTAACATAAATCAACAGGTTTTGGTGTATGAAAATAGAAGAAGAAGCCCTTTGCTCATCCCCTGCGAGAATACGACCCCCTCATGCCATGTCAGTCCGCAAGGATTGTATAAACATCTTTCACCAAGCTGGTCTTTGTGGTTTGGTAAAAATGGGTGGGCAGAGGTGGGGACATGACCAGTTTAGGTATTTTTATTTTATTTTAGCAGGTAAGACCCACTGAGCTATGTAACTCTTTTTCAGAAGCGATCTGGCCACAAATGATAGCTCTACGGAGTGGCTTATCATGTGGAAATTTATAGCAGCCAAATACTATAAACGCGTGTCGATTCTAACCATGGAGGTAAAAACCGGAGGACCCGGAGAAAAATCCACGCGGCCACGGGAGAGGCTGCAAACTCCAAATATACCACAGACGTCATCAGGGTCGAGATCGAACCCACAACTGCCTCTATAGCAGGCGAGGAAGTTAATTAACATCTCCTAGCCACTGCCACACCCCCGGCCAGGAATCAAACTCAGGTCTCTATGTTCACATCGCAGCGGCATCAGTTCCCAAAAGTCAGCAACCAGTCATCGTTTCCAGTGGAATGACACGGATCTGCACGCGTGATCATTGGTACATTTGCACTCGTTTCAAGCAATTGCTTTGCTTGCTCACGCCACCGCTGGTGTAAGGGCCTCAACTACTGGCAACTCTTGGTCTACTCTTCCAAACTGACTACATGCTACCACACGCTAACCTGCCGATTGTGAGTGTGCCCATGTATGCTGCTGGATGAACATATCGCACGGGGAGATCGAATTAGCGAACTCGGTAATGCAAGTCCCGTCCAGTGGGCTAAGGGGCCATCCATTGAGTAGGCACGCAAAGATCTGTCAAAACGTGTCCTCCCCCCCATCCCTGTACGCACGCGGACTTTTTACACCCCCCCCCCCCCCGAATCCTATAGAACGGCCGATATTTAATCCACGCAGAAACGACCAAGGATGAATCATATTAACGTGTTTAAGCAAACAGATAGTCCACCGCCGGCTGCATTAAAGGATTAAGTTGCGCACCTTGGCCACTTATTTTGCTGAGCTGCGTGATAGCTGCAGTCAGGGTCACGGTGGCACACGAAGTGACACCTCTCCCACAGTCCCACTTCTCCCGGCAGTACTTGTTGTCTGGCACCTGAAGAGACTGAACTGTGGCTCATTTGAAGGCCAATGTAGACAAATTATTATCGAGGCTTCACCCCCCCCCCCCCGTTTCCTATGCTTTCGTACATTGTTAGTAGACCCCCCCCCCATACGCAAGCTACGCATTTGGGTTAACCCCCCTCCATGCGTATGCACTAAAATCTAAATGGATGGCCCCTAACAATAAAAACCCCGGCAGCTGCTTTCGATTTTCGGTTGACATTTTAAACACTTTACAATTTATAGCTCTTAGACATATTTCTTACCGTTTCGCCATTTCTTTCACACGATTGCCGGGAATAAATAAATAATTACAACCCAGCTGTAGACACACTAATATAAACAAAATGTGTTATCCGGCAAAACCTCATTTGTTTCCACAGATAAAGCCATGACGCAGAGGTGGTAATGCATTCAGCTGCATAAGCTGAGAAACACAACCGTTGGTGTGTTGCCAACAGACGTTTTTATCACACCGAAGGGATACAAAGAAAGGAATAAGCGCTATTTAATCAGTCCACCTCAACTGCTATGACGTCGTTCATAAACATGGGTCATTAATGAACAGTACAGAAGTGTGCAAAGAGGAGTGGAGAGATTCACGCTTCGAATTAGAGAGACCGAACGAGACAAAAAATGTATTCGAGAACAACATATGGCCGACGGTTAGGAATAATAACAGTGGCACCCAAGAAATGCAACGTGTCCGAGAATTATGGCTGGCGCTGAAGCTCTGTTGAGCCACATCGGATGTGAATGCATCCAACAGAGGATGGACACTCATGACAACGAGATGTTATCTTTATTTCTAACTTTGTTTCAATATCCCATTATTAAATGCAGGAGTGGGGAACATATACACAGCCCAGCGCACGACTTCATATCACGTGGCCCAGTAGTATTTGTCCATCACCGCATCTTCGCTGAACTAATCGGGTAATAGAGGGGGGGGGGATATTTAAACCTGACAACACGTACAATGTTTCTAACTTCAGCGCGCCGAATAATTTCTATCACTGCAAGGGGCCTCTCGCAGTGTGACACAAGTGACTGAGAGGTACATCTTCATGTGTGGCCCACCAATAATACTTTGAACTGCCCGATTTGTGCCCCGGTTAGGAAAACGCCCCCCCCCCCACCACCTCTGACTTAAAAGAATTGGCAAGTGCCTTAAAGCGACACCCCCTCCCCTCCCTTCTACCCCACAGCGGGTCAATTGGCAGGTCGCGTTTTGTGGTGGGGGATAGGGTGTGGGTACTCCCCCCCCCTTCTCTTCTAAGATGCCTGACCAGCGTGGAAGAGTAGGCCAAAGTTACCACGTGTAATGTAACCGTGTTGTTTTATAGAGCACGTCATGTTTACTGCAGTCTAGTCTTTTTACGTCCAACCATATGTAAATTAATGCGGTGAATGTCATTGAGGCATAACTAAAACAACACAAAGCCACACTTCCCATGTGAACAGATTGCGTGAGGTGTAAATGTGGGTAGCGAAACACAACGCCGTGTCTCTGAAACAGAATTAATTTTTTTCGATTTAAAGCTTTCGTGACTGCAGGGATTCATCTTGTTGGTTCTTTCGGTAAAGTCACGTCGAAGGGAAGTAATAAAATAATAAAAACAAAACATAATAAAATATTATATTATTATATTATTTTATTATGTTTTGTTTTTATTATGTTTTGTTTTTATTATTGTATTACTTCCCTTCTACGTGACTTTACCGAAAGAACCAAGAAGAAGAATTTATTTTGATACACGTGACCCCCATTTCTGTGAGTCTTTACGTGTGTGAGGATTGCAAGTGCTGTAAAGGTCAGAGTGCCCTGGCACAGATGTTGGATGTACCACCTGCTAAAGTAGTAAAGTGCTCAAGGGAAAACAAAAAAAACACACAAAACTCGTATTGCAGACGACTTTGATGTGACCTAACGGAACGACGCAACACGCAAAATGAATACACCGCAGACATGAATGAATAAACGGGCGACGCTTGTAAAGTATGTTTCATTCGGTCCCACGTCAAACTTATGGCATGACTGGAATAAATACCACGTAAAACTTGAATATACTTAGTACTTTTTTTCAATATAGGTTTATTCACGATACAGCCATTCATTCATTTCTTGTTATACACGTGTCTCTTGTAGCTTTGCTGATAACCCGTCTTTTGCGAGTTCAGGTCAAACCAACGTATGTACTTTATGCATGCTAAACTCATCGGAGATGCGGGTGGGGTGGGACAACAAACTAAACACAAAAAAGCAGTTCTAAAGAAATTCGTTTTCAATCGAGACGATTTAAAAGTGCACAACTCCAATGCTCTCTCCACATCGTCGCTTGAGACGCTGTGGAGGAGCCAGAGGGAGACAGATGCCTCCCGGCTGGAGGAGTGTCACATGAACAGGGCGTGCTGGGCACGACCGGGCTGCACCTTCAGACCACGACACTTTATCGACGTTTTATTGCCGTATCTGATGCTCAGTGCAGTTATGGTGTAACAGCGTTCGCTACATAATAAATAGAAACAGGTGAACCAACAGCGTTTTAGACATCCCTACAAGTATTCATGCAATACGGTATGAGAATAGCTTTTCCCCTTTTTTCTAGCACACAAAACAGGTGTTAAGATATTCTTTGGGTCTTTCGGTAAAGTCACGGAGATAGAAAATTAATAAAATGATTTTAAAAAATCACGACGTTTCGATCGCAACACAAGCAATCGTCTTCAGGTGAAAAAATACAGCAGGCGGACTGCTGAGGCAGGAATAGATACAGCGAGAGAGCTGCTGCAGTCACACCAGAGACAGCTTTCTTTAGAAAAAAAAAAGAAAGCTGTCTCTGGTGTGGACCAATCAGTTTCAAGGACAATGCATATATTATCAGAGTATGTTTTTTTTGCATTCTGACCACAAGTATTGTGGTTAATGCAGACATGATTCCTTGTAAAAGGTTTCAGTTTGGTGTTTTAAAATCTTAACACCTGTTTTGTTGCCAGAAAAAAGGGGAACACCTCTTCTCATAATTTGGTACTGGCAAAGGAGGTCTCATGATATGCAATACGGTATTTTGCACTCAAAAGTGTGCGTACACGTTATATTATATGATTAACACGCAATAAAAATACAAAATGTGAGCATTTAGTTTAACACAAGCTCCGGGGTATATTTAATGCCTGAAGTCTCGAGAGAGCGTGTATTGATAGCTTAATATATTTTTCTTGTACATTTCCATATTCCCTACATATTTCACAAAATAAAGCAGCAGCAGTAGTAGCAGGATCCACCTACACAGCAAGTGCCTCTATGTGTCAGTGACTTTGTAGGTTAATTATGCGCAACCGCACTTACAAACCTTGCAAGTTATGCATACATCAGGGTGGTAATAATCTAGTCCAGGCAACTACATTCCATTTTGATTATTATAGAACTGTAGTGACATCGCCGGATGTCACTGTGCAGTGCCGGCCCTAGAGAGTCACGGCGTGCGATGTAGCGACATCGCGGACACCACGATGATGTGGGTGTAGTACCGGCCCTAGAGGGGCTCGGTGAGCACTGGTTGATAAAGCTGGGTGGCACCACGCTTGGCGTGCAGTGCCAGCCCTATAGGATAGGGTGTGGGAGTGCCGGGGTTACTGAAGGCCGTGGCACTCTGGTTGACCCGAGAGGACACGTGACCGGTTAAGTCTACAAAGGGGCCCCAAGTGGGGGCTAGGGGTGGTCACGTGGTCCGGGTCGAGATCCTGCTCGAAGATTCTGCAAGGTGGTCATAGCCAAGGGCGGAGCCAGCCACGCCGCAGAGAATATAAGCCAGGTCCCCCAGAGGGACCTGCGTTGTTGTTCATCTTGAAGAGGCTTTCGTCTGCGTCCTACATTCTACCGAGTCTCCAACACGTGGACCTGGACCCGAGCTGTGGTCCCGGTCCATAGGAGCTAGTTACGTAGTGATTAGTGTAGTTTGCCTGGTGGTCACCACCATAGGTTGTTATTCTGTTAAGGGGCAGTTACCCCATGTGTTGGTGTTAAATAAATGTGTTGCCTCCAAGAGTGCATCTGCGACTCAGTTGAACTCACTACAGAACTGCTTTCAAAGCATAATAGTTGCCAACATTCTTTTTTACTTATCATCAAATGATAGGTTGTAACGATGATTGTAAAAACAAAGATAATGAACATAATATGTCCCATGGTGACAGCAAATGAAAAAAATACACTAATCTTTTCAAGTTTTATCTTGTCAGCTGCCGCCATAGGGAAGGGAACACGAGTCTAAATTCCAAACTCAGAAGTGAGAATAGTTACACCAGCGTTTGCACGACCGTCAGGAATAGGATCCGACCCATGCAGAGCTGTTCCTGGAAATGCACAAAGCTTCACGATCACGTGGCTCCATTGGTTTGACCTGTCTCCTTTCCCCCCTCGTCATCTCCTCATCCCTTCCCTCTGCATCTGGAAGGAAGTGAACATAATTGTGTTTTAATGTATATGATTACAGGTTTACCATATGCATAGCTTATACTTTCCCCACGCTAAAATCATTACATGTTGTCATTTTACACCATCCATTGTCTTCGTCGACATTCTTCATTTCAAAAATGCAGCTTTAAAGTTGATAAAGGCAAGAGATGCAATTGATGGCATGTTCGATTTTTGTGTTTAGCCTATGATGTCGTGATAATTTCTTCGGGAGGCCTAGCAAAAAACATGTAGCTCCCGTAGCAAAGCGAGCTACGCTGCCCTCTGAATTCGGAGCTGTCCCGGCTTGCTACCATGGCAATTAAGCCCTGTTCATGAGCTGAGCTGGCCTGCTTTTTAGTGGCTATGGGATCATGGTACAGTGATACATCGGTTCACGAACGCTTTGGTTCACGAACAACTCGGTTCACGAACAGAAAATTTCATAAAAATATGCTCCGGTTCACGAACTCCGCTTTGGTTCACGAACAGGAGCCGCGGCCATTTTTATGATAATTCCAGGCTGTCACGTGGTCGTGACTTCCTGTAGGAAGATCGTGGAGAGAAGAAGAGACACAGAAAGAAGTAATGTGAGTACTGTGAAGACACTTTCAGTGGTGTGCTTTTTAGCACATACAGTACTGTACTGTACTACTGTACTGTACAATACTGTACTTACTGTATTGTACAGTTCACCCGTTTGAGTGCTTACTGTCTCCCACCCGCCTCCCACCTGCCTTCCTCCATGCCAGAAGTCATCTCAAGCAAGGTTAGTGTTCTCTCTTTATACATTACTATACTGTACAGTACTACAGTAATGTGTATTGTCATTTGTTTCATATTTTTGTGCTTCAAAAACCAAAAAAAAGGTCAGAACGGATTAACCGGATTTACATTGAACCCTATGGGAAACTGTGCCTCGGTTCACGACCAATTCGGTTCACGACCAGAGTCAGTTCACGAATTAAGTTCGTGAACCGAGGTATCACTGTATAGGCCACATAGACACATGTGTAAGGAGTTTTCTTTGTTTCCCACCAGTGGCATCCAAAACTCCTGAGTATTGCTTGTGAAAAAGGACAAATTGTGAAATTAAGTCTGGTAAATTCATATAAAATAAAACAAAAAGCAGACGGACTTGAAGGTGAAACAAAAATAAGCCATGGCTGATGTGAAGACTGACCTTAAACCAAATTAACCGGAATACGCTCGATCTCATCAGATCTCAAAAGCTGAGTGGGTTTGAACCTGGATAGAGCTTGGATTGGTGACTGCCACGCAAGTCAGGTAGGCTGAGGCAAGGCCCTGCTGGCAATACAGAAAAACCTACTCTTGTCATTAACGTACATTCTCCCACGTCTACGCTTCCCACTTTCACCAACCCACACAGCACGGGGAAGGACGCTCATGCCGACAAAATGGCTGTACATGCGTAAGCCAGGCAACCCGTAGGATAGCTACTGCTGCTAGAAACCTCGAGAGGCGTGACTCTCGCCAACCTCCCCACCATCATCACCATCACCATCGTTGTCATCGTCGTCGTCGTCCTCGTCGTGACAGTGCGTGATCTCGGCCGGCGGCTGCGGGTGGAGACAGGGCGGCCGGATTTCGCTCATCGCGCGGCTGAAGCACTTGCGGCGATCGCCCGCATGGCCGCTGCTCGCCGTCCCGCTGGTTGTGCTGCCATCGTAGGCGTCCCAGCCCCCGGCTCCGGAGTCTGTGACACTGAGCGGTCGATTTCGTGTCGATATGGGTGACTGCTGGTTGGCGGCGTCAACCCGAGCATGCTCGACGGTTGACTCGTGAGGCATCTGTGCACATTTGAGGATACGAACATTCACGTTACTCCTGCGTGGGTATTGACTGTTGGGCTGTACAGCTATGTGATATTTGTTTCAAGTTGTACCACGTGTTGTCTGATATTTCGCTCGACATTCTGGCAGCTTCTTGAATCGGTTGCTGAAGTAGCTCCCAAGTGATTCAGCTTCCAACTTGAATCAATTGCTGAAGAAGTTCCCATGATCTGCAGGGAAATGCTGCAGGTTGAAAAACATCCTTCCTCAATAACAATGCCTCTGCTAGTGGACTTGTTGCCAATCTTGGTTGGTTTAAACATCCCAAACTTGACAGATTAAAGTGATTGCGAGTGACCTCGCTGTTGTGGATGAACAGCTCACCTGCCTAAAGTAAACTCACACCTGTGAAGAGGAAAAAGCTCTGTGGGTGTGCAGGTCAGCATGGATGTAATTAAAGAGACTCAACAAATGGACCAGCCAAAAGAACATGCGTAAAACATAAGCATCCTGAAAATCAAGTAGTAGACAAAGCACAATGTTTGCACACCACATGTACACGATCTAACCAAAAAACCTTTATTATCAATGATATTGGTCGCGAAAGCCTACGTGTTAAACACAGTGTATATACACACACACTGCTCCACAACAAATGATGAACATAAGTCAAAATAAGACATTTTATTTATATATACATGTGAAAGTAGAGAGAGAGAGAAAATACGAAATACATATACAAGATAAATAAGGCAGAATGAAACACAAACAACAATAAACATAGCTTGGACTTATATTCTTGGTTCTTTCGGTAAAATCACGTAGAATGGAAATAATCAAATAATACAAATATAACAATCTTTGTATTATTTTATTATTTCCCTTCTACGTGACTTTACCGAAAGAACCAAGAATATGAATCCCTGCAGTCACGAAAGCTTTAAATAAAAAGTTAGCTTGGATTTGCCTATAAATTACAAATATGTGCCTGACCTGCTCAGGAATAAACGCAAACATATGTAAAGACAGTGGAATAAACCTACGGTGTGAGTGGACTAGTGGCCACAGGAGGTAATGCCAGGGGAGTCAGCTTGCAGTGCGAATGGACTAGTGGCCACGGGAGGTAATGCCAGGGGAGTCAGCTTGCAGTGCGAATGGACTAGTGGCCACGGGAGGTAATGACGGGGGAGTCAGCTTGCAGTGTGAATGGACTAGTGGCCACCGGAGGTAATGAAAGGGGAGTCAGCCTGCAGTGCGAATGACTAGTAGCCACGGGAGGCAATTCTAGGGGAGTCAGCTTGCAGTGCAAATGGACTAGTGGCCACGGGAGGTGATGCCAGGGGAGTCAGCTTGCAGTGCGAGTAGACTGGTGGCTGCGGGAATGATCGAGAATAGGAGCGTGGCCAGAGGACGGAAGGGACAGTAGAATCTGCTGGTAGAGTGAGCGGTCTCAAACCAGCGAGAAGGTTCGGGAATGGGGGCGTGGCCTCGGACCGTATATAAGGGAGATGCGTGGGAGACTTTGGGCTGTTGCAGTGGGGGTCTCCGCCTGTCCGAGTGTGAGCACGTGGCTCCTTAATAAAGAAACCATCTCAAGACTAGTGTGTCGAAGTCGTCTTTATACATATATAGATTAAAACATGAATTTCAAAACAAAGGATCAAAATTGGCACTTACAAAGCCTCAACCACCAGGAAGAGAGGGGTAATGTACCCAGAAGCCAAATGATGAGCAATAAAGCGTGAATGAAATAAAATACAGGAGGGCTGTGGTGAGTGTGTGAACAACAGTGACTGTGAGATGAAGTTTGCATCTGGAGGTTGTAAAAAGTGCCGCATTCAAATATGATGCCAAATCTTTCAGACACTTTTTTTAAAATAGCATAACACTAAATCCACAATAAAGCTTCCAAAGCCTGCGGCCAGTTATTAGTACTGCAATTAGATGATGATCATGATGATGAAGCTTTGATTTATACAGATTTACCTCGCACTGGGAACCTATCATGTGCATTTTGAAAAGCCAATTTAGTCGTCAGCAGTAAATCCATTTTGCACGTCTTCCCACATCTGTGTTACAACTCACGTATGCTGTATGCATGAAAAATATTGGCAATGCCGGTTCATATGATAGATAGTGGTCTTGGTATCCTACCAACTCTTGAGTGCATGAGTATGAGTTGAGTTATATCACATGCATTGCAGTCAAGCGATTAACTGTTGCCAGACAAATTATATAACGAGAATTATCAACAACCAGGCTCAAGTATACAAATTGTGAAACAAATGTTCCAGTGGCATTTTAGTTGCGGTAGAATGTGAATTTTATTTGTTTCGTCTTGAGACTGCTGCAATCTGGAATTTGAAATCACACCGGCATTACCAATCACACACGTGACATCATAGGTTGGCACGTTAATAAATCCTCTTGAAGCAGTGGCGTAGGGCTAAACAAGACACGGCAGCCAGTCATAGGAGGAGTTTGACTTCTTTATTTGGGAGGGGAGTGCAGGGGTTCGCTTTGCCTCTCACAGGAATTGTGAGTATATGTAATTCATTCATTTATTTGAAACTTAATTATAAACTACTGAAATTTAATTAAGAAAGGTGTCCAGTTTGGGAGGGGCGTTGCCCCCCCCGTGCCCCCCATGCTTCCCCCCCCCCGCCCTGTGCCCCCCCCCCCCCCGCCTGTAAATTCCGCACATGGGCAGCCTTGGTCCACTGTGCTTCCCTTTACTTTAAATGCAGGTGGGTCAACGACAAACAAGATCATGGGGAACTTGGTCAGCTGTTGCCCCCACCCGCTTGCTTCTAAAAGTTGCTAAACGAGGTACGGGGAGACTCGTCACTGGTGCTTCTCTTTCGCTTTGCACGCAGGTGCGTTGTGAATGTTGTGAATGTTGGGCCGGGCAACGTTGGACCTGGGCAGCTGCGCTCCCCTCCCTTTTGATGCAGGCGCATTGCAAAATAAACACACAACTTTGCCGTGCTCGCTGTTGTAACAACAATAAAAATTCAAATGTATAACGCGTATTCCATCCTAGGATCACAATGCGCAATGCATGAAAAGCAGGAAACAAAAACAGAACCAGGACCACCGACCAAACTAAAGAGGGAAGGAAGGCCATTTTAACGAGATGGGTTTTAAAAGCAGACTTAAATACATCTACCGACTCGTATTGCCTGATTTCAAGTTGGCAATGCGTTCCGCAGTTTTTGTGCCACGCAAACAAAAGCCCGATCACCCAAAGAGCGCAACCTAGACCTGGGAGTGCTGAGCAGGTGTTGTGCGAACGAGCGAACTCACCAGCACGTGTGGGGCACGGAAGAGGTAGCTGAATGGGTAGTGCAGCATGTTGATGCAGGAGGCAGCGTAGATGTCAGCGTAGCGCATCACTTGGCTCGCGAAAAGCGTCTGCCTGGACCCGCTACGGAAAAGGCTGCCCATCATGCCGTAGCACATGTCCATGTCATGTGTCACTTTCTGGAGAGAGACGAGGAACGGGTCATTGGGACGATGCAAAAGGGTTTGGGCCTTGCACACATTGCTCACATGACGTACACTCTCTCAATAATCATTAATTATATTCTTATAAGCTGGCCCATGGGGGATGGAAGGTGTGAGAAGATTCACACGGAACAACATATGACCGTATTTTCAAAATACTCACTGTCCCGATTAATAATGAAACATAACAACAGTTTGCGTGCATTGCGGAGAATCACCAGGAGACACATCTGTCAACTGAAAGAACCGATGTACAATTAATAACATAATACAACATGTTGCTGGCTATTTAATGAGTAAGAGTAAAGGTGGAGCCCTGCAATTGCATGCTCACGTCACTGTCGGCAGAAGGGCTTCCACTCAAGGGAGCTTTTGAGAGATCGATCCTTCTCAAAGCGTGTTTGTTGACCTACTCGTCAAAGCTGTGCCAGACATCTGGGCAGGGGCGGTTTCTTCATTAGGGCGATTGGGCGACGCACCACCAATGTCATTCAACCACAGAGTCACGCTAGCCGTCACTGTGCCTCTGGATATAGTCCAATCAGCGTCATGTCACGTTCTGTGGAGTACCGCCTCTTTTTGGACGATTTCACTCCGGCTGAGAATCGCCCCGAGTGGCCCCATAGACTTACATTGAAATATGTTTTTTTTCGAACGGCGGGCGCTCCAATGCATTCTCTATGGCTTCCGGGAGGGCTTGCACTAACGTGCTTACGTCATCATACGTGCTAACGTCATCATACGTAAGCACGTTTCATCCAACAATATAATTTATCGCCACCTAGTGGAATCTTTAATAAAATAAACTTGAGTGGTTTGTTTTAATAGTGAGTATAGAAACAAACAAGATGTATTGTAAGAGTCACTTTATTTTTCATTAATATTAAAGAAGTGAAGTTGCCTTTACATGCTTAAGCTGTTAATTTATCCATTGCATGGGTGGACCTTATCCTTATCAATCATCCAGACATTTGCCCCCCCCCTGAGAGATTTTGCAGGAGCCGCCACTGCATCTGGGGAATGGTGGGAGTACCCACGCACACTTCACCCACCACACTCGACTCGCCAATCAACTGTGCTGTACCCATGTTACACTGCTCTGCAGACAACGGTGGCGGGCAGGAGGGAGGGCGATTTAAGAAACTCGCTGATTGTTTCAACTGCCGCATTTGGTGATCGAACTAGCAACCTGTGAATCCAGTCGAGTGTGCTAACCATTACACCATGTCTGCGTGTATAATAAGCAGGCCGAGTCCAAAATGTACAATCCTATCGTCATTCCTCGCTTAAAAGATCCCCACGTCATATGAAGAAGATGAAGGAGGAGGAGGTGAAGGGAAAAAAAACACCTACAACCAATTCTAGATTTGAAGCTTTCGTGACTGCAAGGATTCATACTTTTAGTTTTTTCGGTAAAGTGACGTAGGTAAACATTTTTTATTAAAATTAATACAAATAAAATAATATTATTTAAATTTAAATTAATAAAAATAAAATAATATTATTTTATTTAAAATAATATTATTTTATTTTTATTAATTTTTATTTCAATTTTTTTACCTACGTGACTTTACCGAAAAAACGAAGAGTATGGACCTACAACCAACCTTGATGCGCTTCTGCAGAGAGCTGATGTCGGGCCTTTCATTGCTGCTGCTGTCCAGATTCCTGTGATTACGAGCAGAGAAGAAAAAGGCACCACGTGAAAGAAGGGAGTGGGCATTTTTCTGCATGTAAACATGTAAACAAACAAGTTGACCTCCTCTTATCTGAAGTGATGTGAGCAACACACACTATTTTCTGCGATGTTATCCGTACATTTACTCCACTTTTCTGCGGGAAAGGAATTGCAGATAATTGTGAACAGGATGAAGTTGCTGGTGCACCTCTCTTATCTGTGAAAGCTAGCAAGTAATAGGAAGCCGTTCCACAACCAGAGATAACAGAAATAGGGTTGCGTATAGTAGGACTTTTTGTGGACCCTACAACTTCCGTGGATACTAGGAGTTGTGAATAAAAGTTATCTTGTGACAAACAATGGAATATTGTTAGATCTATATAATACACGTGTAAAATATATATACATTTTAATCAGTAATTGTATGTGACCAAAACTAACAATTGCATGCAGTGTTATACACAGCGAGGGTGGTGAAAGTGTGTAAGATTACTTTGTGAACTTACTTGTACAACTCGGCCAAGTATATGTCCAATCTCTGCAATTCCTCAAACAGGGCTACGAGGCAGGAGTGAAAGAACACACAGTGATAGTACTCAGACACTCCAACGGCCTCTCGTGTCACGTAGACTCCCGTGGCATTCCACAGATGCCCCTCCTTAAGGCAAGCTTATTTTTAAAAAATTCACCCAACGTGAAATGTGCAAAGATTTGTTGTAAAAGTAGGGGCTGGGTAGCTGAAGGGTTAGAGCATTGAGTTAGCACCACTGAGAACCCGTGTTTGAATCTGGGTTTCAGCCACTTGTGATTAAACCTGTTCTTCAATTGTAGCGAATATTTGTTCCCAGCCGAGTAACAATTGAACTGCTATAAAAAATAAATCTAACTATTGAAGGATTTCCACTTAATTTTTGCTACATTTCAGTTCTGTGAATTAAACATATCAGTTCAGCTGCCATGTAATGAACATTTCTCTGCAGTTGAGATCACTTGAAAATACTTCAGAAGTAATTCTGTGACATATTGTTCTTCAGCTATTGTCTAACACAGTGATGCATTTATCTGCAGTAATTACGAACGGATGCGTCGTTTCATGTAAATGAGAAAGTAAAAAAGAATCTTGAATGGAATCACAGCCTCAAATTGTGAATATCCATGGCATAGCTCTAACGATTAAGTTGTTACATGCTCAGTATCGAGTATAGCGTAAAACGCAGCAGACCGCTCTTATCTGTCCAGACGTGAAGCTCCAGGGCAAGTTCAGGAATGACCAGGAAAGTCCGCCAACCCTGTCGTTTCTTGGACTTGAGAATGTCTCCAAAGATGTGGTCACCAATGTAGAGAATGTCCTTCCCATTGACGCCCAGGAGATCGCACACCAAGTCTGATGACCCTGCATATCCGGAAGGGTTCACGCAGAAATGGGTTCCAAACCTGTCTGATTTCCACACCTCGTCTTTGACATTTTAACGTAATTTTTGTTTCATGTATTGTATATGTCCAGGAAAGCGTCACCGAGTCTCAAATATTTTTGAGGCGAGTCCTGCTTTGAGACGTTTGCTCAGTTCCTTTTTAAATAGTGTTTTACAGTTTGGAAACAACATTAAAACCAGTGTAGCTGAAGTAAACGTATGGTTTAACACTCAAAGGTTCACACAGATGGATTAATCAGACCACTAACTGGACTGCCATAGCCTGACCATCTCTCAGCAAGCAAGTTTGGTAGTTTAAGATCCTTGAATGATCTGAACAAGGCCCCATCAGTGGTATCCACAATCCTTTGCATTGGATGACAGGTCTGTTATCTGTTAGCATGAAAATAGCAGTTTGCTATTATATTATACAATATTGCACACATTTGTGTACAAAACATTTTCTCAATGCATAACGTCGGTGATAGATTTGAGAAATCAACCACTGGAAAAGTTAACCGGCATGCAAGATATTGAAAATAGTGAACGCACATTTATGTCATGCAATGATTATATATTTTACACAGAAATCATAAAATCAGGTTACTCATCCACCAGGTTAAAGGTGTTTTCCAGATACTCATTGTATATTGTGTGTACGCTCCCGTGATAGAGTTTCAGTTGTCATACGTGATTATCTTCATCATTCTGCTTTTATTGCTGCAAAATACACCTCGTCAGCTTAAAACACAATTGGTGGTAGGACAGTGCAATACTAAGAAAGGAACACCACCTGATCCAGTAATGTAGAACAATGCTTGGAAATGTCTAGGCCCGGGATTTGGCTTATAGTAACCTCACACAATATAATGTTCCTAATAATGACGTCACAAATAAATTTCTATTTAAAGCTTTCGTGACTTGCAGGGATTCATCTTCTTGGTTCTTTCGGTAAAGTCACGTAGAAGAAGGGAAATAATAAAAAATATGTTTATTATTTTATTATTTCCCTTCTACGTGATTTTACCGAAAGAACCAATAAAAATATATTTTTATTATTTTATTATTTCCCTTCTACATGACTTTACCGAAAGAACCAAGAAGACGTCACAAGTATTTAGGTTTCACATTACAACAAATGGTATGACTTTACAATGGCCCTCACTTTAACGTGACTGCGGTGAAATAAACTTACTTCATATAAAAACACAAATGTAAAGGGGTAGATGGAATGAGCATTCTCACCTCCAGAATATACGATCCCATGTTGCAGAGGCCCTGTAAAAGTTCCAATTTTCAGTTGCCCAGTTTCCTTTAAATAGAAAAAATAATGCTTATGACTCAAGCTATATTACTACATTTATAGATAATATTACTTCTATCGAATGTATGGATTTCTTTACGACCGATGCATTGTACTTTTGGCATATTTACAAACGATGTCAATAATATCGAATGTGTCAGAAATATATTTTCGGGGAATGGAGGTGAAACATTTATGTACTTCAAGAAATAAATCAATGCTGTAGGTTGCAATGAAAGATGTCAACATTTGTTGTGGGGTGACCAAGCCTAATGTGGATTGCATTTTTATACTGAGACCTTCCAGACAAAGCATGTTTATTTCCCTTCTACGCGACTTTACCGAAAGAACCAAGAATATTAATCCCCGCAGTCACGAAAGCTTTAAATAAAAATATAAACAAACCAAGGAAGTGAACAATTTTTTTTTATTTTAAAGATGCTAACTATCACGACTCATTGTTGTGCTTCAAAAAAAAGACTGGTACAATGGTTACCATTATATCATTGTGTGCTTCCTACGATGACCTGTGGTCTAAAATATGGTCATTCAGGGAAAATATACGGAAACATCTTAAAAGTGCACAAATAAGCATTGAGAGATGCATTCTTGGAATTACATTGAGAGACAGAGAAAGAAACACATGGATTGGAGATCATATTCAGGTTACTGACATCATTCAAACTACAAGAATATTAAGTGGGCTTGGGGGGGACAGATCGCTCGAAGGGACGATGGCCGGTTGGTTGTTAATAAAAACGAAGTGGCGGCCAAGGAATGAAACGCAACTCAGAGAACGTCCATCGAGGAGATGTCGAAATGAAATCGGTTTGTGTACAGGTTCTGGGTGAATTATTACATGGCAAAATATTCAGAGTCTTTGGTGACTCGACGCGTTCATTCCCTAGTGGATTGAGCACGAATGACGATGACAACGACAAAGATCGTGGCAACAAAAGAGTGTTGTATTTGTTACTGCACACCAACGGCTTGTGTCTGCTTTGGCCTTGTGACAGTAACTGAGAGAAATGTGCACTCAAAGACGAAAGCTCGAGAGGTGAGATGCCGCGTGGCGGCGGAGATGTCGCACCGTGTCCACCTGTCGAAGCACAGTTCCCTCGCCAAAGAAGAGCGGCTTGCGGGCATCCACGACGATGAGGTCAAAGTACGACTGCCAAGGCCGGTGCTGCCACCCCGGCTGGGGTCGTGACACGGCGATTGACCTCCCCTCCTCGAACTGCAACTAAAGCAGTTGAGGAAGGGGCCAAATGAACCATTGGGGAGATTAAGCACAAGTAAAAGAGCTGTTTTTATTATATATTTCCGTTTTCTTTTTAGGAAAGTACAGGAATTAAAACTACTGTACAATATCTACGTGCCACTTCTCATAGGCATGCACTATAATGAAAAGGGAAGGAAAATTTAAATATAACTAAATATAGTTTGTAGATGTAAGATACAATTAAACTAATCTTCGTGCTGTCCCTTCTACCAAAGGCAGCAGTTTACAGAATGAGGCAAAATAATAAAGTATGTTAAATACATTTGATAAAATGTTCAATATCTTCAGTTGCTCAAAGATAGAACTATGTAAATTTAGTCAAGCCATCAGTGTGTGTTCAGAATTGTATTGCAATGCCTGCAACCTGAAGCTAATTATTTAAATACCATCAATTTGACTTTTTTTTTTCGTTTTGTATTCATGAAATAAAATGCGATAGAATCAATAACATGCGACTATAATTTTAACAAAAACCTTATCTGAATTATCGGTTTCAATGTTGGAAATTAGCCTCTTACCTGTGGGCCATGCGGCAAGTCAAATAAGTATGTCATAATTCTCTGTAAAAAAAAAATACAGATGCTCATATCTTTTACTACACGATGCATTTTCATTGATATACGGACACGAGTTCTGTAATGGAGCAGGAGACCAAAATAATGCATTGCCGAGTGAGAACCAATCATTTAGACATGTTGGCTGACCACCATGGACTCCTTATACTGGCAATTCTGATGAATGTTGATGTTAATTTTTTTTTAATATATCATGGAACGAGGTTTTATACATTAACTTTGAACACAATTTCATACAGGTATTGTCCACTATTTAAATATTTATATTCACAATGATGTTATAAGTATATACATATTTGTAAAATGGTATTGTTCATATGATTATATCATTTTAAATCAAACATAACCCTGCGAATGTCACAGAAAAATACCCCTAATCAATGCCTGTCCAATGAAACGATTTGTCAACCTTACCCTACCAATGTTTACCACACAACGTTGTCACACTTCGAGTTTAGTATATCTGACTTGCACAAGTTTGCTGTGTCGTATCGGCCAGTGTGATTGCTTGGTGGTAATCATACAATCATTATTGTGAAAGAAAATGCTTAAGTCCAAATTACACAATTGGCCTCATATGAGTCCCATGCAAAGGTTACAGGGGAAAAGGAGTTAACCTCAGGAATGATGATTATTTTCAAAAAATAAATCTCAAGATTAATTCTCAGCTTTGATCTGGTTTTGTAATACATTAAACAAAGATGCATTAGCAAACACTCCACCGTGTTCCTGACTATCTCTCTAAAAAAATAACTCTAGTCAGCCACACGGAACATTTCTTAAGATTAACCCATTCTTTTTTAGCTCAATTTGACAAAAGGCACAATTCCAGAATTACCATTCTTTTTGTCTTGGTTAGAATCAAATCTGCAGAGCATTATAATATACTTGCTTGTGTGTGTGCTTTTACATGTAATAATAATGTAAAGCCATTTGCCAATCTACTGTCATAGCAGTATGACCAGTTGTTTGGTCATACTTCACCATATGTTAGCCGACTCTCTGTGTTGTATTGCATTATATTTCTAAGTTTACTAGGTTTGTTTTCTCTTTCATTTGTACCTGATGATGATTGCTTGTGTTGCAATCGAAACGTCGTATGCTATTATTTAATTATTATTCTCTTTCTCCGTGACTTTACCGAAAGACCCATAGAATATTAATTCCTGCAGTCACGAAAGCTTTAAGTCAAGAAATTAAGTGCTGGTCAAGGGGAGGAACTGAAAGCAAGAGAGGATAAATGCATCTTGAGCTGGGTATTAAACATTGCCACTGTCTCCGAAGAATGAGCAGCACTGGGCAAAGTGTTCCACAGTCGTTCACCCATTGTGCGGAGGAGCATCGTCCGAGGAACGTACAGGGCACCGGCCATCGGAGAACAAAGCCTTCGGGATAGCCACACATATGGGGTCAGAAAATCTGCGAGAAAATCTGTTTGTCCACTGTGGAGAGCATTATATGTCAGAAGAATGGTAAACTCCGCTCTAAAATTAAGGGGAAGTCAGTGAACAGAGTCCAAGACCATATTTGCATGATGGGATTCCAGAATCTAAGTTACGTAACAAGTGCAGAATACTGACTGCGTGTAGTGTTATTTGCTGTTAACTTACGTCAGTGTAATTATAGTCACTGTTTGTTGCCAGGAAGACCTTCGCCACCTCTTGCATCCTCCTCAAAAGAAGTGGCAGTTTTGGCTGAAAAATATAAAATGTGAAAGATGTTTTACGAGCATGTTTTTATTTTGTTATGCTGTAGTTTTTTTATGACACATCATCATGCCAGATCATAATGCACTTTGAATAAAGTGAATATTTATATTGCATTGTTTTATAACAGTGACAAAATAGTTTAAAATACATCTCCGTGTTAAATACAGGATACATACCTGTCAACCCATACGGTTTACGCGTATTCTTGTACAGGGAAATTGAGTTTTCAGGTCCATAGAGCGTACAGCCGTTTCGATACGGGTACAAAAATATATTGTTTGTGTTTCTCTCTTGTGATGGGACTTTGTAGGATGAACGTTGAGATGTATAAGGGGCACGGGGTGACCAATAAGGTTTGAATTGGTCTGTAATAAGGTAGGGCACTGATAATAGATGGACAGGTATGAAGATACACGCTGCATTTAAAGAGTGTTGCACTCAGGGATGATGCTCGCTCATTCGGGGCCATCAGCAGGAACATGTTGCCCCCACTACATCCACTAAAAAAAACATCTAATTGCAATCATTTCCACAAACGAATAATTTCGAGTACAATTATATAAAAAAGGCAAAAGTAAATATCACCATCGATTGTGTATAGAATACAATTTGTTATGTTTAACAATTAACAGATACTTTTTAAATATTTAAAATCGCGGAGAAAGTGGCATTTATTTGACGTTGTTATACGCGAATGTGTAAAAAATATAATTGTAATTAATTGATTTCTTTACAAACCCCCATGCTCTTGCATACACGAGAGTACTTAATTTTTTAGTTGTATTTTGCAATGTACTTTGTTGCTACAAATAGCTTGAAGGAACACAATTTGACTATCTTCAATTGTTCTCGCCCTTTACCAGGGAAGGGCCTGTAATGTATGGTTTATTACCTCTGTACTCAATAAAGGTCTCCCCCCCGCCCCCCCCCCCCCCGAGGTCATCTGAGTGTTAAACGTAATACTTGGGTGCATTAAATACCAAGAGGGATAACGATGCATCAATTGGTGGGACCCTTGGCCTGCTGAGTCACACAACCAAGTGCAATTCATCACAGTGCTGTGCACGAACAATTCAATGTGCTGAAAAAGCAATACTACATAATGTTCAGGGGTTAACAGATATATCTCTGCAATGGCAACATTTAATGGCTGAGAGAAGCAATATATATCACGATATGACTAGCTAGCCTGTGGCCACATTTGTGGCTGTTTTCCCAATTAAAAATGTTGTGATTAATGTTAAATGTGTAATGTGCTAATTCACATACACTAGTAGGAGGTACTCTCTCTTTTATTACAGCCTTCACAGCCTATCTACATATTGGGTAGGGACAGCCAACATGCTGCCAGACCCACAAATTGAAGAGGGCGAATATCACAATGACGACGGCACGATGCGTTCCATTCCAGATCGCAGCCGCTCCGACTGTGAGTGGGAGCTCGCCTTTTATCCTGAACAGCTTGGCCAGCCCTCGGCCCTGCACCCCTCTGGATCCCCCAGAGGGGTTCCGTGCCTTGCCCACATGTAGAACGGGCTGTTACTCCTAATTCTAGTGTCTACCAATCTCCGAGTGGCACGCGCTACACATTCAATGTCACTACAAATGTATTGAAACTCGTGTACAAGAATTACATAGTTTGTTTCGATTTAAAGCTTTCGTGACTGCAGGGATTCATCTTCATGGTTTTATCGGTAAAGTCACGTAAAATGGAAATAATAAAATAATAATAATAATAAAAATAAAACATAATAAAATATTATGTTTTATTTTTATTATTTTATTATTTCCCTTCTACGTGACTTTACCGAAAGAACCAAGAAGATACATACTTTGTATTCATATTTGTATTCATAATTGTTCATCTGGTGTGTGAACACCTGAAATCAACAAGTTGAACCTCTATAGACCCCACCCCTTCTCCTCTAGGCCCCGCCTCTTTCCCTTTAAGCCCCGCCCCTTCCCTCCTAAGCTGGTTTGAGGAGGTGGGGCTGGTGGTGCGGCTGGTGGTGGGACAAGGATTCCCAACCAAGATCCCTCTTCCAGCAGCAGTGCAATAATAGATAGGTGGGCGAGAGCTGTCGCGATCACATCGCGAGGCAATTGGTCAATTCATTCCGACATAGCGAAGTTAAGATCATGTGGGGCAAGTTTTGAAGCAATTTTCACGTTAAACGTCCGTAATGGACTACTCATTGCTTCGTTCATCATTAATAAATCCGTAAAAGAAAAAAACACGTGACATTTTAGCAATGGACCTTCTTGATAGCAGAGAGATGCGCGCCACTGACCTGGAAAATTGAAGTCATATGATCTTTAACCACATACCACCGAATGCCATAGGGAATTATCCAATATCGACATGACAAGACAGGCACTTTTTGGGTTAGATCGCGTAAATATGTGTCGTTAAACCCGCCACCACCCGACACAGCCGACTAGTAAAGGTTGTCACGTAAACAGAATGTGGCCAATTCGTCACTAGTACAGCACACCGGTGTGTTGGAGAGCAAAGCCACAACATTTCCAATCTTGAGTACGATGTTTCGCCAGTAATTACAACTAGCTTGGCATTAAGTGACATTAAGTGCATTGTTATTCATATCTACTTTATTTGTGCTTTTCTAAAAGTGTGAGTAACTAGTCGTACCTCTTTCGCCACGTACTTTTCCACATTTTCAAGTGTTTTTTCTTTCAGTGTCCCCTGTTGAATAAAAGCCACACTTGTGTTGACACCATTTTGATAAAAGAACAGCTTACACATTTTAATCAGTCAATGAAGTAACCTTATACTATTGGTATATTAGACCAATAATTAATTTAGTATTGACTGTGACAATGTAAAATTATCACGTTTATGATTTGCAACGATTAAACTGTCGGAAATGTTGATAACTATGACGGCATAACGCATCTCGCAAGTACAAAAGCATATTTTTTTTAGAAAAGACATTAAATGTTCGAGGTAAGAATGCATGGTTTGTATCATATGCAAATGCTATTCATTTGTTGAATATATATTATAATGGATTGAACTGTACAAACGAGACGATAAAACGAACAACAATACAAACACTAGAGTAAAATTGAGATGTAAATAATTTATTATTGAATCGAAATTGTGACCCTGAAAAACGAGAGATAATTTCGCTCAGCAGATAAATCATTGCATGCCGAGCAAACACAGCTAATTAAACAATACATATAAATGCAGGGATTGATGATTATACTTGTTTCCCAAGGAAAGCCGAATTAAGCCTCAAGACTTTTTCAGGATATTCAGTTTTCGTAATAGGGGTGGCTGTTTTCCCAATGAAGCATTTTGTGAGTAATGTTACATACATTGAATCTCGTGTACAAGAATTACATTATTTTCTATTCATATATGTTTATCTGATGGGTGAACACCACCCGCAGTCAATGGAGGCGCTCCCATTCGCCGCAATGTAAACAAAACCAAAAATAAATCATTTGAATTTGGAGGCATGGGGAGAGGGGTGGGTGGGGTTCAGACGAGTGGTCAAAGAAACTGTTCTCGCCCCCTAGTGGAGAATTCAGAAAATCTAGGAAAGTATTCTTCATACATATTCTTTGGATCTTTCGGTAAAGTCACGTAGAACCGAAAAAAATAACAAAAAAACTACGACGTGAGTTTACCTGCAGTCACGAAAGCTTTAAGTCAAGATTTATTCTTAAGAGAGATCGTTATTGTCTTGTTATCTGCACAATAACATAGGATATGAAGTGCATTTAGCACCACAGAGAAAATATAACCGCACGTAAAATTAGGGTTTAAATAAATATTTAAATGCTTTAAACTTTGTGACCTGAAATGTTTTATATATTTCCCCGCTGTAAGAACGTTTCCCAAGATAATCTGTCACTGCAGGTCAATATTATCTGTGACCAGGCTGAACATTTTAATACATAATATAATCAGTTAAAAATAAATAGCCTGAGGGTTACACGCCTCTGTGAATGCATCTTAATGATCATGGCCATCATAAATACACTTTTAATGCATTAAACCTGCACCGTCCTCGTGCATATTTTCCTGTTGTTGTTATATAGTATCAGTGCTAACTGGAGTACAACCCTGTAGTGTGACCTTGTTTAAAGGTGAACCATATGAAAATTCAAGGGGAGGGGCACCACAGAGTGAATGTCAAACGAACTTTAAACGAACGTTAATAACAAACACAATAGAGTAATTATATTATCTTATTGTGTACATTCTGTTCTAGCTGTATATCTATAACGCACATGGGCCCGTTTTAATAGTTAAGGGTATTGCTGAACCGCAAAATTTAAAGAAAAAACTGCCGCTGGCGGTAAATATTATGCCAACAATTCTTTGACTTAACCGTGTGAATTCATAAAGGGGGCTGAAACTCTCTCCCTCTGCCTCCCCTCCCAATGCTAACGGGCTGCCAGAAATACCTTTGGCGTGTTTGTGACCTTGAAAGGCGGCCCACAAATGTGGCCTCCAGCTGCCATGCCTCACAGTTTCATAGCTCGTTGTCTCTCTCGTTTGCACTCAACGACCGAGCCGCACCCGGGTCATAGACAAGCCAGGCCAGCACGGCTCAGGAGGCATCACGTTGGGTTTTTTTTTACACCGCAAAAGCCATGCTGCGCCGCTGACGTCACACACAATGAAGGGCTGATATGCACTGTGGATGATGCAGTGACGCAGTGACACCGTGTGCCTACAGTGTACAGATTGACGTCACAATGACTGCCATTCGTACCTTCCTTGGCCCTTCTTAACCCCGTGCCAAATCCATAGCGCAGTGCTGTGCCAGCCCATTTCCCCTTTGACACATCACAACACCGCACAGGGTTGGTGTACGGTGATTTTTTTTCTCCAATATTTTGCTGTCTTTTCTTGGATTTTCTGTTTGCACATAGTCACTTTAAGATATTTTCTTGTACATGTTTTTGTTTTTTGTTTGTTGCGGTTGCACCCGATTCAAGAGCCGAATGGCTCACATGGCTATACCTAATAAATGAACTTTGAACTTTTTAACTTTGAACCGCGGGTCAAGGAAATGGACAATGCCAACTTAGGCACCTCCTTTAGGGTGTTTGGTCAAATGTATGGGATGTGAGTGTATTACCATGATGTGGACCCAGTCCACTGCATCCCTCACGTCTTGGAACATGCTCTTAAAGGACATGAAGAGATCTCCCTCCTTCACTCCAGTGGCACAGCTGTCACGGCAAAGCCAAGTAAGACAACGACAAGACAAAAACCCACCCTATAGACAAAACATACTTTTAGGGAAAATGCTGTTAGCAAGCATTTATGCTGACTGGGACGGTACACGAGGGGGTAGGTGACAAGCACTACGCCTGATCGCCTTAGTTTCCCTTGGTGGCGATATTTACGCACCGTGCCAGGTACTAATTTGAGGCTGAATCGACCTAGGGGAGGCACAGGACCGGTTCAGAAAATCATCACACGGTAATCGAACTCGAATCACCAGGTTCGTCGTGAAATGCGCTAACCACTGGGCCACCGCTAACCACAGCCAAGTAAGAGCGCACATAAACAAGCACACATGCACATAAGGGACCATTATTTATTCATAGTCCTTTGTTAATCCACTGCTGGATGAAGGCCTCCCCAAACCTTGTTGGCTATGAGGGTTGTTTCACCATACATTACCACACTGGTCAGTGCCGATTGGTAGAATGATGGGCCCAGGACCAGTACAAATATCACTTGCCGCCGATATTAGGCCTGGATAGGCATAGAACTGAGGTCAACGGGTTCAGAACTCAGTGTGTCCACCACTGGGTCACTGGACAGCAATTATCCTAAAAAAACTCTAAAACAACACTAGCGAGTTAATGTTCAACAGTGAGTTACTCAAAATCGTACAACTAGATGCAGCAAAGGCAGTTACAATCGAATTCTTATCATTAGCACACACTTCATAAACCTGTGGTTTTCTAAGAATGTTTCAAACATTTATGAAACTTTCTTCGTACAATGTTCATCCCTGCGCATGAGCCAGGTGCATGCTTCAACCATAAACAACAATCTTTGCACCCCCCCCCCTCCCATAGACTCATTCTAGACCACGAGTTGACCATAAATTCAGTGCGTGATCAGCCAACGCAATTGCAGGCCCTCGCACCGCTGCGCACCCAATACAACGCCACAGCGATCAGCAGCACAATAGTACACTGACGTGAACGGCAAAACGGAAATGTTTATTGACTGGGAGCCACCACTCGAGTGGAAACCACTGGCAGTTGTCTGCATTTGCGTGTGCTCTTGGACAAATGTGGTTAAAACATTTCCATGTTTATCGATGGGGGTAAATTTGGTTTTAAAAAAATTAGCACGCCTGAAAAGAACACAAAGTAGAATACAGTACAGCTGAATATGTGCATTTTGTAATTTTTAGTTTACAGATCGACAGACATGGTCATTAACTCAGAAACACGTTTTAAAAAAGCCACAAGTTGGCCAAATATCAATGGAAAGATGTGAAAATTCATAGAGATAGCTGAAAGGACACCAAATTACGCAAAGTATAAGGGTCACTAATGCTGTTGTTAAAGCAAAAGAAGTCAAGCGAGAATGGGCAGGACACGACATGATGAGAACAAATTGATGAGTGGACACAGGGACAAGGCAAAATAAGCTATCGTGCTGTGACGGTTCCACCTGAAGACGGAAGCTTGTATTGCCTCCGAAACGTCGTGATTTTTATTTTTATTTATTTTATTTTTATTTTACTTTTATTAATTTTAATTTAAATTTTTTACCTACGTGACTTTACCGAAAAAAACTAAGAATATGAATCCTTGCAGTCACGAAAGCTTTAAATCTAGAATTAAGTGGTAGAGGTGTCAAGATAAAATCAAATAATTCAGAGGCCGCTATTGGGCACGAGCAGCCACGGAAAGGCTGGAATGGGGCGGGAGAAGCCTTTTGCCAGCAGACTAAATAAATTCAGAGAATTAAACTGACGTGTCAATTAAACTTCAAAGTGTTGTTGTATTGGTTTTAATAGGCTATCCACCATGAGTGCCAACAGAAAGTCCTTAAAAGGTAGAAAACGTATCATCAATCCACCTTTGAGTTATGTGCATTTTAAAGCTGTCTGTTAGGGCTATTAGAGAGATAAAATATCTTCAAATCTAAATAAAAACCTTACAATAAACACTAAATGCATAATTATAAACTAAACAATACACGTTGGATTGAATTAGCATGTAAATGCATATGCATCTCAATACGCTGAAATAATTAAATAGACAATACCTGGTAATATTCTATTGTACTACCTTAAACATTACACTATGTCACGCAATTGTTATTTCGGAATTGCTTATGCCTAAAAATTATAGAAAATGCCTATTATTCCCCACAAACTTTGCTTTTGTGACCAGGACATTGATACTTTTATCTATTTTCAATGAGAAAACTGGCAAATTTGTGTCTTTTCATTCACATAAAGTCAGAAAAAAACATATGAATAAAAATTTACATGTATTTATACTAAAGTAATACAAAATTTACTACTAAAATTTAGCAGTGAAAAGTTTTTCGAGATTTACGATTACACTTTAAATCACTTTCACGAATCAGCCCCCAAATGTTGTCTCCCATCATGTTCTCGTTATACTGTCCTTGGTAGCGGCGTTCAAACTCCAGTATATCCTGGTGAAAGCGCTCGCCTTGCTCCTCCGAGTACGCTCCCATGTTCTCCTTGAATTTATCAAGATGAGCATCAAGGATATGGACTTTGAGGGACATCCTACAGTCCATTGTGCCATAATTCTTCACCAGTCTCAACCAGCTCCACGTAGTTTTTGACCTTGTGATTGCCCAGGAAGCCACGAACCACTGCGTCAAAGCTGTCCCAAGCTGCTTTCTCCTTACTAGTGAGCTTCTTGAGGAATTTATTGCACTCCAGGATCCTCTTTATCTGTGGTCCGACGAAGACACCGGCTTTGACCTTTGCCTCAGACAGCTTAGGGAAGAAGTCTTGAAGGTACTTAAAGGCTGCCGACTCCTTATCTACAGCTCTGACAAAATATTTATAAGGCCCAATTTTACGTGCAGTGGTGGCATCAGCACCTTCTGGGGGTCCACCAGTGGCCCCCACTTGACGTTGTTCCTCCCCACAGAGATCTCGGTCCGCTATGGCCAGTCCCGCCTGTGGTAGTGCGCCTTGGTGTCCCTGCTGTCCCAAAGGCAAAAATAGCAGGGAAACTTGGTAAAACCGCCTTGGAGACCCATTAGGAATGCCACCATGAAGTCTCCGATGACCTCCAGCCATACTCATCATACTTCAAGGTGCCCAGCAAGGTCTTGATGCTGTTGTAATCCTCTTTGAGATGCACCGAGTGAGCCAGGGGAAGAGACGAGTACTTGCTACCATTATGGAGCACCACGGTTTTGAGGCTTCTGAATGAGCTGTCAATGAAGAGGTGCCACTAATTCTGTTTACAGGCGATTCCGATTGCCTGAAACAGACTGGTCACAATGTGGCAGAAGCAGAGCCCATCTTGACGGGTGAAGAAGCTGCAAAAAGGTTGGTGACACGTCCTCTGATCTGCGACTTGCCCACTTTCATCCACAAAGTTCCACTGCTTGAGCCTAGACGGCATAAGCTTGGCATTGGACTTGGTGAGACCAAGATCTCTGATCAAGTCGTTGAGGTATTTTTGGTTGGGGTAGTATGGATTTCTCTCCTCAGCTCCACCTCTGAAATTGTCATCTGGATCTACAACGTCTTCCTCGCTCTCTGACTTGCTGCTCTCTTCTAAAGACGGCTGCTCTCTCTCCAGAGGAGTGGGTACGGGGAGCTCATGACAGTGTGGCACCAGGGCGATGGATGAAGGAAGGTCCGGATACGTGATAGCAGGTGCATTCTTGCCAGTCCGACGTTTGGAAGGGTCCACCATGCAGAAGTAGCAGTTGCTTGAGTGATCAGTGGATTCCCGCCAAATTCTTGGGATAGCGAACTTCATGGCTCTCTTTTCCCCTCTGTACCATCCTCCAGAAATACATTTATTTCACCCATGACTAATGTGTAAGAGATTCTCGCAACATTTTTCATATATTATATAATTTTCAATAACATTGAAAATTGTTAAACATTTTAAAATTAAAAACTTTTACAATTAAAAAAATTGTAACAAATTTCATAACATAAAATTCCGAGCAACAATTGTCCATCTTACCTTCCAGAGTTTGTTTGCATTGCTCGCAGGTGAAATGAGGTGCCCAGGGTTTGTCTTGATCCCCGACAGGCATGCCAAAATATGCCTTGCAGGCCTCACACATCTTAGCAGATGCTACCACAGAGTACTTTTTCGCTCTTGTCTTGATAAATTGGCCGCAGAGACATAGCAAAATGCGTCTGCTGGATGCTTGCAGCCTCTTGATGCCATCTCAGAAAAATGCAGATATGTATCCACTTAGGCAGCTGGAGCTAAACTGAACTGGTGGGCTTAAGGCCCCTGTATTTATACTACTATTTATATTACTGGAATGTTCTAAAATGTTCTAAAAGTTACTCCAAGTTTACTCAGCACTGAATCTATTTGGAATGTTCTGGAAAATAGGTAAATGTCTAAATATCACTGTCATGGTCACAAAAGCAAAGTTTGTGGGGAATAATAGCCATTTCTGTACTTTGAGGCATAAGCAATTCGGAAATAACACTTACTCCCCAGGAACAACAAATAAATGCTACACAGTGTTATCATTGCTTAAGGTAAAACAAACTTTGCATTGCCAGCCAGATGACTATTAGCTACTACTGCATATGCATGAAAGAGACTTTGACCTGGATTAGTGAAATAACATGTCCCATACCTTTAGCACCTCCTATCTCAGAGCACGGGGGGGGGGGGGGGGGGGGGTTATAAAGAGTATAAAGCTATCTTACTATTGTCAACATAACATAGATAATGCTGACCACTGAAACTATATCTTAAAGGTGGTTATTGAATGTGATAATGATTCTGGAACACAAGTTACAAACTGATGGACTGTGAAGAATGTGAATGTAATCTGTGGTCCACTCAAAAAGCAAAACGCCAGGTACGTAGTGACCGCCACTTCGAGTTTTCAAATTGCAGGTGACATGTGCAGGTGGTTAACGTATTCTTAGTCACGGCTTAGCTGAGGCTTAACTCTGGCTCAAGTGAGCCGGCTTAAAGACGTGCTTAACCAGAGCCGG